TCTTTTCTTTTAATTGTCGTAAAAACTGAGGTATATGTTTTGCAAAAACATGCATGTAAGGTGTGACATCTTCTTTTTGATATAAACCAAAAATTTGTATAGTACTATTCATGTAACCTTGAGTTGGACGGCAAAACATACAGATCCAATTTTAAACATCAATCTCAAATTAATCAATTTCTTGATCTGTAAAATTTTCTTTATGTAAAATTAAATATAAATGATAAAATTCTCGCCATAATTCTTCTATATCTTTTTCACGAATGCCTAATACAAATTGTGATACTGAAAATTTTTCCAGCATTTTCTTTTTATCTGGACCCATTAAAGAAGTTCAATTCCATTGTTTTCCTGTTGATTTAGATTGAAAAAATTCAAAGTGAATTTTAATATTTTTAAATGCTAATTCAATTACTGGTTTAATTTGTTTTTGGAATTCCTTTTTTTTAATTAAATCAGTAAATAAACATTCTATCAAAACATCTGTTATACGTAAACACAAATGTAATTCATCTGAAATGTAATTTTGTTAATCAATTGCTGGAAATAAAGAAGGTTTTTTTTCGCCTAATCATTAAATATCAATTAGATATTATACAAAAGTATAATATATATATATTAAAATAATTTAAAACTTACATTTTATATTTCCTGTATTATTCCATATTTTATTCATATCCCATCTTGATGATGCATCACAATCACAATACAAACAAAAATATTTGGAATTAGGCGTATTTAATCTCATAATAATATACATAAATTTCCAGTCACCACAAAAAAATAATTCAATTGACCAATTAATACCATCTTGATCAATAATACCATTATCTTTTAAATCAGATAATTGATATTGAAATAGTTGTCCAATTTTTGCTAAATTTTCATATTTCTCACATCTAATATAAAGGCAAAAACTATAATTTACAAATAAAATTAATTAAATTAATTAATAAAAAAATATCATTTTAATAATAATGATAATTACTAATATTGATGATCAGGTTTCAAAACTTCTTTTTTTTCATTTAATAGGCAAAAGGTCATCATTACATGCTTTTGTTTACGTCTTACATTTCGTCCATCACCACTAATTTTAAGATTAATTGTATCTTTTTGTTTAAGTATAGGCGGAGAGGTGTTTTTCCAAATTGAAATTAATACTCTAAGTAAAGTTTGAATTGATCTATATACGCCATTTCCAATTTCAACTTCATCAATTAATATTTCTTCAATTTGTTCAGATACATCAAAATCATCAATATTATTATTAATATTAAATGTTCCTATTCTAATTTTATCGTTCATAATTTTTGTAATTTTAATTCTATGTTTTTCAATATGATGTTCACGAATAAGATGACATTTAACTGCAGATAACCGGCGATAACCATCTCTTGATAATAAAGATTCATCACATGCTCGAACAATAGCATCCAATTTTTTAGGTTCAATATTATGCTGATTAGTAAGATTAATAGTTTCACCATTAAAATCTAATTCAATATTACGTATATAAATTATTGGTTGATCTATTACTGTAGTCATATAATGCTTTTTAATTAGTGATGAAAGTTCTCGTTCAGAATCTTTATCAAAAGCTGCCAACTATTTATTTTATCCTGATTTTGTTTGTATTAAAGAAAGAGGACATTTCTTAAAAGTTGTAGGTGAGGTTTTTAATCTATACTGATATAATACTTCTATATCTAACCCAAAAATTCAAGGACCCGATAATTGGGTTTCAGATTGATTTATTTTCTAAATAATAATTTTTTATTACAATATGTATTAAATTCTTATTTAAAATCAATAAACACATACTTTTAAAAACGCGGTAACAGCTCCAGTTGTAGATCTTTCACTATAAACACTCCACTCTGTATTATTTTCTTTCCAAAAAATATTATACCTTATTTTTTGATTTGAAATGTATTTAATTTCACAATAAAGTTTTTTATACCCAAATTCAGTTTCAACAACATAATCATTCGGTATCCAATACTGTTTTCCATTTTTAGAATTTTTTTGCGTCATCATAACATTTATAGGATATTGTTCCAAAGATATTACATTATACCATGAAATAAAAGTTATATCGCCTGATTTGTATGTTGCTACAATATGAGAAGAATTTGGATAATCTTGATTAAAAATTCTTGTTGAATAGCGATCTATAATTATATTATAAAGGAATTAATAATAATTATAAGTTTACATATAGAAATATTATATGTTAGACAAATTAGAAGTTGAAATTAAAAATTTGAGATAATGCCTACTCTTTTTCCTCCAAAGAGGATGGTAAAAAAAGAATTTTCAATTTTGAAATAAAAATTTACCATAGTCGTGACTTTCATTTTCGTTAAACATTAGAAAAATTTTAAAAATTTTTCTAAAAATTATTTAACAGTATTTTAGTTTATGTTAATACTAATATAAAATAATATAAATACATTTTAGCAAATTTGTTGATTTATCGCAATTCACTACTAATTCCAAAAACCAATTTAAAACCGATTTAGAACAAAATTTAAAGTTGTTAAAGCGCGAAAATACACACGTTAATCGAGAACTTTTTTTATTTTGTAATAAGATCAGCCTTGTTACACGTCTATTTACTGTATTACAAATCTGTAATTAATTAAAATTTTGATACATATAATGAATATAATCCTAATCACTAAAGTGATAAAATCGAATAGAGTCAAATTAGCCCATATGTTCAAACTACAGCTAATTATATAGGAGTAAATTTTTTCTTGCTTGTTATAAAAGTAGAAGCTGATATAAATATGATTTATATAATATGTAATAAAGTTTTTTGAATTATTTATAATAAAAAATTTTTTTTGATATATATGTGAAAAATTCAACTTTTATATATATATATGATATATAACAATTTAATTATTATGATAAACCAAATTCGTACATTTATAAAAAAATTTCTAGAAATCTATTATTCTAGACTTTCGTAATATTTGAATAAAATCAGAAAAAATGCTAACAACCATTTAAAAGGACAATATTAATATAGAGAAATTATTATTTTTAGTGATTCTGTTTTTATTGCATTTTTCTAGTAAAATTATTCTTTATACAAATCATTTTATAATATCAATAAAAGAGAGAATTCTTGGCAAAAGTCAGCATAAATAATTTAATAGTCATGATCAAAAAAAAATCTATTAATTAGACTTCTGATTTTCACATTCTCATATAATACTCTGTTATTATAAATAAAGATAGCTCTACAATTAAAGAGTTATGACTTAGGAGATTACAACCTAAGTTGCAATTACTTGCAGAATTTTCAAATTAATTGCAGAGCTATCTCTAATTATAAACCCCATATATATGTGAAATTTAAAAAAATAAAATAACTTTATTAATATTAATATGTATTTTTGCATTGCAAATATCTATACATATTGTATAATATAGAGAACTAAGAAATCAGAATTTAATGATTCATTTTTATTTAATAATTTAATCAAGTAAAATATAAGAAAGATATAAGAATAATAATAGGTAATAATGCATCATCATGATACTTTTTTTTATAACATTTATTATTTTTCTTTCTTCTTGATAAATTTCATAGGTAATTCTTTTTTTTCTTAAATAAGCTTTCAATATCTGAGTATCATTTATTTTAAAAATATATAGAGGAATTTTTTCACCTTATTCTTTCTTCAAGATATTTCTAATGGTGTTATAATTCTTAAATTCCATAGTAGATCTGATATAAATGAGTTTCATATTATTATTTTTATATAGGAATAATTCTATATATCACAAATAGGATATTATAAAACTGTTAATTATAATCACATTACAAATGACTAAATTTTGATCCCTAAAATCTCTGATAATACCAATGTTCACTTTGTCTAGTTTTGTTGCAGTCTGCTTCATATAGTAAATATTTGCTATGCTATTTAAACAATAAAAAATTTACTTTTATTTTATTTTAAAAGTTTATATAAGAAAATAATAGATTTTATAAAACTTTTAATTTATAATGAAATTTAAAAAATTAAAATTCAATAAATTTTAACTGCTTTTTTATTATTTTCTAGTTTTATTAAGTTTATTATAATTAATATTTTTAGTTTTTCTTTTTTGATATATACTTTCTTTATATTTCTTTAATGCTTTTCAGTTATTTTTTTTTAAAAAAAGTATTATGTTTTTTTATTTATCTTTTAATTATTTTTACTTTTAAAATTTCACAATATTAATTTTTTTTTTATTTACTAATTTTTTAAATTTTCATATAGTTTTAATAGTATACCAGTCTTTTAAATTAAGATTACTTATATATAAAAATAACTTTGTATATATTATTATAATATTTATTTTTCTCTTCTTTTTTACTAATTTTTTGATTTTTCTTTCATATTTAGTTAAACTTTAATAAAAGTTCTGAATTAACTCTATCAATATTAAACTAATTAATACTTTTAAATAAAATAAAAAATTAACAAAATTTATCTTATTTATTTTAATAATAGAATATATTAATATTATTATAATATAGGTATTTTGCAATAGAAAGTGAGAAAACTATCAAAAAAAAATCTTTTTTTACTTTCTAAGCTAAATATTATTTTTTTATTAAATAAATTTAGATTTAATATAATTCAAAAAAATCTTTTTAGTAGTTCCCTTCCTTTTTATTGCAAACCATTTATATATAAAATCTATTATTTATATATTATATTTATTTATTTTAGTAATGAATTTTTTATGTATTAAATTAACTATATATAAGATAATTTTAAATAAATAATTATTTATATTTATTCAATTTTATTTATTTTGCATAAACTTTTTTTTATTGATAATAATATTAATCATAGTATTTTAATTTTATTAGTAATATATATTATTTATATCATGATTTTTTTAAAATAATATTATTTATATCATAATTTTAAATTTTATTATTATATTTTTTTAATTAAATTTAATTTGAGCAACTGATAATTTACTTAATCTTTTTATTACTTTTTCTATACTATTACCTGTAGATTTATAACTAATATAATTACTGTATATTATTTTATTATATAAGTAATTTTTTTATTAAAATATTAAATATATTAATTAATAAAAATAGAATTTTTTAAGCAGTTGATATATTATATATAATGAAAAGTTAAATTAATTTTTGTTTTATTAGATTTAAAAATATCTATTTACATACTTTAATTTTATATTAATTATATTAATGATTTATAATAATAAGTTTTAATTATAATAATAGTATTATTATCAAAAATTATTTTTATTCAATATAATAAAAAATTATAATATTATTATAGTTAATTCTTTAAGTTACTTATAAATGATAATTAAAGCAATATTTTTAAATAGTAAGCAGAAGGTTTGTTTATAATTAATTTTATAAAAGTATTAATCAATTAATAGTTATTTAATAATGATAACAATGAAATACAGCCCAGTTTGCGCTCTGTACTATACAAGTATATTAAAGAGATTAAAGTAACCTATTTAATAAAATTACTTATCAGACATACTAGACATATTGTTAAGCTAAAAGAAAATGTCCTATATTTATATAAAATAAAATATATAAAGTTATCAAAAAAATAAAGAATAAATATAATAAAATAAATATATAGATTAAATAAAATAAAATAAATAAATAAAATATATTATATAAAAGAAATATATATTATAGATAATATAAAAGATATATGGACTTTTTATAATAAAAAGGGAGGAAACTACCAAAAAAAATTTTTTTGAGTTAATGTTAAATCTAAACTTATTTTATTAAAAAAATAATATTTAGCTTATAAAGTAAAAAAAAATTTTTTTGGTAGTTTTCTCTCTTTTTATTTATTGTAAAAAGCTCATATAAGACATATATGACTTTCTAGTGATCAATATTATCCTTTTAATTTTTATAATCTATGTCTTCTTTTATGTAATAATATTAAATATAGCTTATAATAAAATGTAGTAAACTAAATATTTTATTTAGTATTATAAGCCTAGTAATTATATAAATGTTTTTAAATGTCTTATAATAAAAAGAAGAAAATTAACAAAAAAAAATTTTTTTATTTTATAAGCTAAATATTTAATTTTTAGTAAAATAAATTCAAATTTAATATTAACTCAAAAAAATTTTTTTAATAGTTTTTTTCTTTTTATTATAAAGTATTTATATGTTTAAACAAACTATTTTTTATTATTTTTTTAGTAAAAAATTATATGAAGAGTCTATCCTCTTTTTTTAAAATTTATATTTTATTTTTGAGCTATTACAGAAAGAATATCTATTTTATAATTAACTATTATAATAATTTTTATATTTATTTAATACATTTATTTTTGCTTTAAATTATAAATTTAAATAATTTTTTATATTTTATAGACTAAATAATAAATAAGTTTTCTTATTATTTTGAAATTAATATATTAGAAGAATTATTTAATATATAAAATAAAATTATAAAATTTTTAAAGAATTAATTATGTATCTTATAATGTAAAAGTATTATTCTTTATATTACTAAATATATAGTAAATAATGATTCATATAATTTATATAATTTATTATAATAGAAAATAGTTTTTAAAACTATTATTAAGTCTAAAGTATAAGTGTAATGAAAGAGATTAATTATATTTTAATTTAAATTTTAAATAGATAAATAATTAAATATATATATAATTATAATATTAAAATATATATAGTTTTTCAATTCACTTTGGTCTAATTATTTTATAAACTAATAATTCATTTTTTTAATTTATTTTTTTTAAATATTAATAAAGTGTTTTAAGTTAAATTATTAATTTATTCTAGTAAAAATATTATTTATAATTAGTATTTTTACAAAATAAAAATAATATAGATAATTTGATATTTCATTTAAGCAGCAAGAGGTATAAACAGATTACATATTTTCCCTCTAGGATCTTAGAAAAATGGTAATGAATATGGGCTTAAATCAAAATTTTGAAATAAAAATTTCTGAATATGTATACATAAGTATGTAGCTTTCTGATCACTTTCTTAATATACGAAATTTTTGAAATCTTTATTAAACTTCAAATTAATCTATAATATCAGAAAACATCAAAATCTAATATTAAATTCAAGCTTAAAATTGAGCTAGGCTTAAATCCTATTAACATATCTTCTTACCCAAATTTTAAATTTTCAAGATCAAAATATATACTATCTTTATTAATGCATTAGTATATTTTTAATCTTAAATAATATAATGAAAAATGTATGCTATACTGCTTGCATTAAAAAGAACTCTGAGCACTAAAGACTGAAGTGTCTGAGTGTACTCGTAATTTGACTAAGCAAGCCTAATTAG